GAGGTTATACATTTAAATATAATCTTCCTGGTTTGGGGAACTCAGAAATCACTTAAGGTAATTTAATTTCCATACCATTGACATATGATCTGGTAGAGACTGGAACCCCTCCTGGATCCATTTATAATCTACAATGTACACACGCCTTTTTCCCCATAGACCGGCGTGACCACTAGATGGTGCTGTGGCGCCCTGTTCAGACACATTCCCACTTACTTGCAGTCTCTGTCCTCCAAATCAAAGTGGGGGTTGAAGTTGATCATAATTCTCTGGTATGGGTCCGGAGCCTCAATCAGCCATTCACATTTTTCACTTGGATGATAAGAATGAGGATAACCAGGAGACGTAAGGTACCCGGGGCTTTCAATTTTTATAGTATCGCCACATTTATCTGCAATAAAAAATGAAAATAAGATTTTAGTAGATCTTTCCCTGACAACCTGTTAGGTATTCTAGCTCTCCATATACATAACTAGTGATTAAACATTCTGTAACTTTTTAAGGGGAACTCCAAGGGGTCCCTACAAGCCCTTCATGTGGCACTGAGAGCAAAATTCCCCCAAGAACACTCTTTGATCTCAGGAAGGCTGGCTCAGGTAGAAGGCAGGCTGATATCTGAGATAACTCTCCAGCAGCCCCCAAAGTTCCTTTCCAAGAAAAAGGTCTTCTAGCATTAAAAACATTAAATCCCCTCAATTGATGTTAACATGGTCCCCGGGGAGCTTCTGCTAGACTTAATTATCCCCCAAGAAGTGTAATCACATTAAGTAGCAAGTTCTAAGTAGAAAGTGACGGAAAGAAGCTGTTCGACCCCTTGTGTTGCTTTTTGATGATAAGCCTGGTCTATGTCATTGATCAGTGGGGATTGCCTTTGATTGGCTTAAAGCCAGACCTTTTTTTTTTTTTGGTCTTTGTTTTATCTGCCCATAAATCTAAGTGATTTTGAGTTATCTCCGCTCTTGAGATCCAAATCAACAGAGAACAAAGTATATTTGGTGAAGCAAAAATAATTCTGCTTTACTTCTCCAAGTAAAGTTGTTCAAGCTTGGAGATCAGATCAAAGCAACAGTGCAGAAAGAAAAGTAAATAGCCACACGGCATTAATTCTAATTACCTAAATGTTGGGTGAAAAATAGCCCACCACACAGATGTGGGTAGCACATATGGTGAGCCACATTCTCACGTTCTGGGTAAGGTAAGCTGACTAGTTTTTGAGCCCCCATTTCAAAAAAATGCTGAAGTGATTCACTGAGAGCCAAATAAACCAGTCTCTAGGCTGCTTTACTGTTCAGTGTAGATTCTCATTGTCACTTTTTATGATGGATTTTATACTGGAGAGCTTCAGTCTGAAATGCTGCCACATTTATTGATGCTTAATTTTGAGCAATAAAAATTTGGTGCATAAACTATGTAAGAGGAACAGGTATGAAAGCAATGAAATATGTAAGCCTATCAATCACAGATTTTCAGTAATGGTATATATAGATTTTAATATTGCATCTAATAGATTCCCTGTGGAAAGAGAATGGCATTCTTTGCTCTCAGCATGAATTTATAAATCTACAGAATTTTATTACAGGAAAACCAGGTCAAATGGAAATGAAAGATGAAGTGCACATCAAAAATGCATAAAGCTACATGCATTACAGAAATCATTTCCCATAAATTAAAAAGAAGACAATACAAATTATATTGTTTTCTCAATTGCTAGATGTTTTCTGACTTTGTTTCTTAGGCTAGGGGTACTCTTATACTGGTTTCCATTGCATTGGCTTGTAAAAGCTTAAGGTTTGTCAAGAAGAAATGATGTTGCAAGCAGAGTTCAAAATCTCAGCTAATGATCATATTGGACTTTACTATGTGATTCTACTGAGACTCTTGCATTATTTTAAATGTACAGAAAACTTGGAAAATGGCCTCGTCTCATTAAGTCTCCTCCAGCTCTGGACAAACATCATGGCAGTGTCTGGCATCTGTTAGAGGAGTGAAATAAAACAGCCCTGGTTCTAGTCACTCGACAGAGTCACTTCAGAAGACATTTAGGTGGACTTGGTACCACACCAGAGCTCTTTAATCTGTGACTTCTGAGAAAGTGACAGTGTAATAAGATAATGTGAACTGCTAGACTCCCTGGCTCTGTTAAATCTCTCTAACAGTTGATTAGGAAAGAGCAATTTCTAATGACTCTGGACCATTAGTCCTAAATAAGGTTAATGAATTAATTTAGCAGACACTGGTACTTGGAGGAGGTGGACATGGCTTTAAGAGGTCTGCTGAGTTCCAGAGGCATTTACCTAAGCTCTGGTCACTTCAAGCATAGCAACATGGTTTTAGCTAGTTAAGCTCATCAACTGAAGCTCAGATTCTCAGCATTCCCCAGATTTCTGCTAAGGAGATTAAGAAATATGTTTGTGCCTGTGTATATGCATATATATGTATACGATATATATGTGTATATCTGTGGAGTTCACAATCTAAAATCTGAAAGCATGTGCAAAGGTTTCAAGTCTATCCTGTGAACACCCCTACTGTGGATTTAAACTCAGGAGTTGTGGAAGACAGAGGGTTACTGCAATTACTAAAGTCCAACCATTTGAGCTTTTTCAGTTGGAAGAGAATGTTATTTCATTCCCTGCCAGAGTATAAAAAGATGCCACCAACTCAGGTTCATTAATAAATTGAACTCCACATTCACAATTTTGTGTATGTTTGGCTTCCCTGCCAGATAATAGAAAAAAATGCCATCAACTCAAGTTCATTAATAAGTTGAACTCCACATTCACAGTTATTTATTTATTTGCATGTTCTGCTTCTATCTTTTAGAACACTGCTTGGTAGCTGTTGGGGGAAATCTATTGCTTAAATCAAAAAACCTCGAAGCATATTAGAGAGATTAACTTCCATCATAAAGATGTGATTTAAATTCCTCTTGGTATGAACCCCTGCACTTGTGGTTTCTTATTAAAACAATATACCACAGTAAGTAGTGGATGTTCTTTTCTTCTAATTACTTTGATTGAGATCTAAGCCAGACAAAAGTAAATATTTGATCATTAATTAATAACAATTAATGATGACTTAGTGTAAAGATAATTGCATATCCTTGCCATCGTCTACTTTACAGTGTTAAGTCAAACATGCCTACAACCAGATCACGTTTTAAAACACATTATTTAGGTTACATGGTACTGTTTATGTCCCAGTACGGTTTTTCATTTACTTAACAGTGAGTGGTTTTAAAAGCTAAGTGGAAGCTGCAACTAGGTTAGGGATTTTCAGATATCCTGGTGCCTTGCACTGTATATATCAGGTTCCTGTATTGACACTGTGCAACTTTCATTCATACTCCAGATGGATTAGGGACGATTTACAAAGGCGGGGGAGGGAGTTCCATCAACCCACAACCCGCTCTTTCTCTCTCTCGCAGTCTCTCTCTTGCAGTCACCCACCGGAGGAAACAGTTTAGGGGAGCTGCAGGGAGAAACCAGGAAGTAAGTTCTCCTGGTAAAGTGTTCATTAGCTTTCAACAGCCATCAGATTTTTTGAAAGGGAGTCTCATCTAATTGCCTTTGGGAGGAAACATTATTAAGATAATTGGTGCGCTGAGCTGGGAAGGTAGGCAGCTCTGCCTCGCCACCGAGGTAGGGAAACCCCCGCAAGCCAACCAACTTCAGGAGGGAGCCCAAAGATCTAAAAACCCTCCTGCCCTAAACCCCTCGATCTTATTTCCTTATTAATTCCTATCTCCCAGATAAAAGTTTCCCTCGCCCGGGAGGTGGTTCTTCCCGGCTCGCCCCTGCAGCCCCGCGCGAGTCCCGCGTCCCGCGGCCGGGGCGGGAAGCCCGCACGCCGGCTGCCGGGAGCCCGGGACGCCGCGCTGTCACCCGCGCCTCCTCCGCCTGTCACTTACCGCTGCGGAAGGCGCCGGCCAGGGCGAGGGCGAGGGCGAGCGCGGCGCAGAGCAGCGGCAGCCCGCTCTCCATGCTCCCGTCGCCGGGTCCCCGGGCGGACGCGGGAGGACGAGGACGTGCCGGGGTGGCGGAGCCGCGGCGAGGGAAGAGGGCGGTCGGAGCAACCCGGAGCGCTGCAACTCCTCAGCCCGCCGTGGAGAAAGGAAAGCGGCGCGGCAGTGCCTGGACCCGAGAGCGACGCTTCTCTTTTTGTGTCTCAAGTCGCCCGCATCCTGTCATTTAGCTCCGGTTTCCTCTCCCTTTTCCCACACTTGTTCCTCTTCCAGGAGCCACTGCCCGGGCCAAGTCTCAAAAAAAAAAAAAAAAGGGGGGGGGGGGGGGGGGGGGGGGGGGGGTAGGGCAAAGCGCACCGAAGCCAATTTCCAGGAAGAAAAAAAAAAAATCCGGCTTGTTTCTGGACGCGTTGGAGCCGAGGAGCTGGCGCCCAGGGGAGGTCCGGGTGTCTGCGGGAAGGAGCGGAGCGAGCAATGAAAAGATGAGCGGGAGACAGAGGAGTTTCTCCAACTGCACCCCCGCCTCCCCACCTCCTCCGGCCGCCCCCACCCTCTGGAGCCTTCCCTCGCGTCCTCCTCCCCTCAGCGCTCAGGCTCGCCCGTAATTGCCTGACAGGAGACTGGGAGGAACTAGTTTCCCTCGCAGTGCGCTCCCCGTCCGTCTGTCTGTCTCTCTCGGAGGCCCTGCGGGGGTCTCCACGGGAGGACGGGCGCTGGGGGTCCGCGCCCAGGGCGAGGGGGTGTGCGTGTTGGAGGACAGGGCGTCGGGGTCGGTGCCAGCCGCGGAGTCCGGCCAGCCTACCTCGCGTGCTGGCTCTGGGCCCCACCGGCTGCTCCCTGAGGCGAGGACCCCGCCGCTGTGGCGTGCGGAGCGCCCAGGAGGTGGCGGCTGCTTCTCGCCACTCCAAATCCCGCCCGCGGCGGCGAGGAGCGCGGGGTCACCCTCTGCCGCTCCCCACCGTGCCAGCCCGAGACCTGTGGCGGGGAGCAGCCTGCGCCTCTGGCAGGGGCTGGGGGGGGGCAGGAGGAGAAAGCCGGGCTGGAGGGGGAGACGGACGGCGGAGCCAGGCTAAGGGCGGCAGTGGAGCCGCCGCGTAAAGCAGAGTCAGACCTCCCGGGTGGGCGAGGCTGGGCGGCAGCCCCACTCGGCTTCCCTGCCCCGCGCCAGGACGCTTGGCTGGGTGTCAGTCGCGCCCGGGTGCACTCCGCGCGCCGTGGGCGCCATTGTTTCCTCAGATTCGGTGCCCTCTCCTCAGGGGCACAGGGAAGCCGGAGGGTGGGCGGCGCTGCGCCTCACCAGCTAGGGGGCAGCCGCCGCCCGACCCCGCCCAGCCCTGCCTCAGGGCCCAGGTGCTGAGGAGGGGCTGGAAATTAGGGGTCGGGTGGCCCCTATCTCTGAACATCCCGAGGGAGCGAGAAGAGTGGCGGGGGAGGGGATGCCCTCACAGCACCCGCTCCCGACCGCCGGCCGCCGCGCGCGCCGCCCTCGAGCGCCTGCCCACCCCTCCCCCACCCCCTCAGCGGCGCGTCCTCGGCCCCCACAGCCGGCGCTGAGGGCTTTTCCAGAACTGCTGCGTGAGGCGTGTGCGGATACGAAGAGCAAGGACATTTCAGGGAACAAACAGGTTGGGGCCACAGGTCAGGTTCGAGGGCGAAATGCCCACTGACCACCTCAGAAGGACTTTGGGGGCAAGGTGAAAAGGTCACACACCTCCTGGGAGTTGGCGTTTACACACACGGCGCTGAAGCGCGGCCTGACTCCTACCTGGCGCGCACAGAGCTGGCAAAGGAGAGTTAGGAATGTTGGCGAGGACACTCTGGTCAAAGGTTTTGGCGGAGGAACTAAGGGCGGGCGAAGAGAAAGGCAGCCCGAGAGGCGCGTGGGCCCCAGGCGAAGGCTCTGCGCTCCCGGGTCGGTGCTGGGCGCGGTGACGTGCGCCCCTCGGGGTGCGGGCGGGTCCCGCCGAGCCGAGGTGCACCCGGGGCGCCTGCACTCGCCACTCTGTCACTGAGGTCCAGCCCTCCTTCTCTCCCGCCTCACCCCTGGGGCCGCCGCCGCCAAGCTGGAGAGCCGGCCCCCTGGGCGCCTCGAACCTGCCCTGCCCCCAAGCTTCTCCCTCTTCTAGGCTCTCGGACCCCTGAGAGGCGCAGGGTGGGAAGGGGACGCTAAAAGGCCGGGAGACCAATGCCTGGGTAGAGCGGAAGGGGCGGTGGCGGGAGCAAGGGCAGCCCCACGCCCCAGAGCCCGGGCCGCGGGGCAGGCGGGCGGCGAGGCGGGGGCGCCGGCCGCGCCCAGCGCAGCCCCGGGGGAGCGCGCGCGGCTGAGGAGACCCCGGGCGCCCGGCTACGACCAGCGCGTCGCCTCCTCGCCTTCCTCCCCTCCCCGGGCGCAGCCCCGCCAGTCCCAGCCCCCAGCTGCGCGGGGCGAGCGGCAACGTCAGATTTAGGGTGACCCCGAGCGACCTCAATCCAAGGCGCGGAGGGAGTGGCGCCTCCCCGGCCCTGGCAGGTTGACAGCGGAGGGGACCCGGCGGGCGCGGCGGCCGCGGTGGCAGATTCCCGCCTGCCTCCTCGTGGGAAGCGGCCGCCGCGCTCGCTCCGGGGCGCCCGTTCTGACCGCTCTGAGCCTCGGCGGGGTGAGCGAGGGGGCACACGCGGGAGACTATGGCTGTGTTGTTTTTAGAAAACTGCAGCCAATCTCTCTTCCCCCTTCCCTGCTGAGTGTGCATTTCCCAGCCTAGACCCGCCAGGCCCACAAATAAAGCCACCGAGATCGTGCACTCAGCTAGGGACCGCCCCCAGCGTGACCCCGTGCCCCCTGGCTCCCTCCTGCCTCTCCTCGGGGAACGGCTCCTCGGGCGGCTCAGCGCTCAGAAAACGCAGGGCTCCTTTCCTGCTCGGCAGCCGAGCGCTTCTGCCAGCGTTCTCCAACCAACTAATAAGCCATGCACTGGGTACTCAGAGGAAATGTCATATTTAAGTTCTGCCTCTGATTTCCCTGGTCTTAGCGGATCTGAGGCTTCTCCGGGTTCCTCGTTTGCACGCACAGTACTGGGTAATGGAGCCCTACCGCACTGAGGGATAATTGCTGGCTGGTGGGTTGGTACAGAGCAAATTGTCCTTGCTAACAGCCCCTTTCCTTTGCTGTTGGATTCCACTAAGTGGTGGAAAGGGCCAGTTTTAGGTTTCTGCAATTCCCCACCAAGGCAGACAGACAGACTTTCTATGAGAGTAAAGCGATGGCCCGAGGGAGAACTCAGCAGTGTTCCTTTGCTTTTTATTTTTTTTTATTTTTTTGGTCTCAAGAACACATCCCTCTTCCTGATATCAGAGATCCCCAGCCTGGACAGGACCCAGTTCCCCGGAAGGGGAGATGCCTCCAGAATGCCCGGCAGGGGCCGTCAGTGGGCAATACCCTGCCTCTTGCACTCCCACCAGGGCGACTGCACTCAGCTTGGACTCCCGGAGCCTGGCTGGAACCGTGGCCCATCATTAAGAATAGACTGGATGGCAAATGCTCATTCCTTTCATCAAGCTGTCATCAATTTGTCAGAAATAAGATGAAATCGATTGCTCCCAGAAGGCCATTTGAGCCACTAACTTCCTCAAAGTACTTCAGACTGATGCACTATATGGAGATTCAGGTTGGTAGTTCAAAACTGTATCTAGTCAAGTTTTTTTTTTTTTTTTTTTTTACAACATCAAACCCATATATTTCAGAAAAGCAATAATACACCTTATTTTTAGTAGGAGCTAACCTACATTTGAAATGTAAGAATAGATGAAGTGAAACTTGGAAAAAGATTAAAAGTTGGAATTGAAATTAACTAGTATTTAAAATAATGCTATTAAAAATGGCACTTCCATCAAAGGACTCTGTCATGCAAGAGATGTCTTTGGGACCTCATTTATGGCTATCTCCTTAATTTGTACTGTTGGAGAATGAAGAAAATAAACAAAGGAATCTTTGCTTTCTGTTCCTTCATTTTCTGCCTTTTAAAAGTTACCTTGAAAATTTTCAAATATTGGAGAAAAGAGAGTGCCATCTAAAATTTTAAGACAAAGTTACAATGTCAAGTTTTTGTAATACAGGATATTCAATAAAAAAGATGAAGAAAGACAATGCTAACTTTTGAATCACGGTGGTGGATTCAAAACATTTTTTGGTGGTAGAGGTGAGGGCTAGAATTTGGAAACTATGTTATTTGTCTGAAAGCATAATCTTAAATTATTCTGCCTTTGTTGGGTTACTTTTAAATTAGGAAAATTTAAATAATCAACACTGACAAAACCAATAAAAACATCATTAGAAGGAACATATTCAAAATTTTGCAAGGACTATTTTAAATAGAGCATTCTTTAAAATATAATTTGAGAAATCAAAGTAGGGAAGTGGCTGCCTCTTAAACGCTAACCATAGTTTTATGTAAGTGCAGAATGAAAATTGTAAGGGATTTTGAAAGAAATCAATAAAAAATGATTTTTAAAATATCAAATGAAGACTACAAAAACAGTTAAGAATTGTTGAATTTATCCTAAAAGATTTTAATTTTATTTCATATTTTTATTAGGTGACTCTGGCTATTGCATGTAGAATGGGTTCTAAGTGGAGCAAGGGAGGAAATGAAGAGAACAGCTATGATCAAAGTGGAAGGAATGGATGAAATTGCTGAGGACATTGAGAAAGGAGGCTGAGGACAGAATGTTGAGGGACCTTTAAAGCCTTGATCCTCAGGATGAGCCAACAAAAGACCTTGAGAATGAATAACTGAAGAGGTAGGTGGAAAACCAGGGCAGTAGATTGTCCTCAAGGCCAAATAGAAGAGGGATTTGTAAAAGGAAGTGTTGGACAAGAGCTGAACATTGTTGAGGGTTCCTGTTGGTTGAGATTGGAATGCAGTTGGACTTAGCGAGTTGATGGCTCCTGAGAGTTGACTTTATCGAGAGTGAGTGAGGGAGGAACAGGATTAGGGACCATATTGCAATAGACTGAGGAGTCAATGTGACCAGAGAGACAGGACTAAAGATAATTCTCTCTGAAAGTTTCTAGTGAAGGGGAGGAGACAGACAATAGCTCTGGAAGGAAGAGGTGAGGAGGGAGGTTGATTGTTTTTATTATCTTTTTTGTTTTCTTTTAAGATCTGGTACTCATGAACATTCATAAAGGCCTGATAGGTAGAACCTGGTATTGGGGGCAGTGTTGAGATTAAAGCACAGAAAAAATAATCAGGGTGCAAATTGCCTGAGAAGCAGGAGGGAATACAGTTTAGAACCAAAGTGCCGATGGATTGATATACACCAGGTTGGAAGAGGGGTAGCTCCTCTGTGATAACAGTGAGGACAGAGGAGCTGATGAGTGTGACAGCAGGTAGGTTTGTCATTCTGGTGGGGGGCAGTTTCTCTCTACCTTCTTCCATTTTCTCTGTAAAGTAAGTTTTAACTTTTGGTAAGAATAATGGTGGAAGAGGTGCTGAAAGCCACCAGAGAGTAGAGAACATTGAAGTGGATGACCAAGCTGACCAGAGAAGCTGCTGGTGTCATTGCTGTTGTTTTGATAATTTTGCAAGTTGGAAAATTTGATCTAAGAGCTCATTTTCCATAGAACACATTCTCTTAGGAAAATTGGCTAGTTTTTCATGAAACTCACAAAAATCCACTTAACTCATAATGAAGTAGTAATATAATATTAATGGTATTATTTCAGCTTTAGTGACTCAAAGTAGGTGTTCACTAATTTTTTTTTTCAAAAAGGAGTTTTTCTAACCATAAATTAATGAATGCATCTTTCAATGTGCAGGAAAAGTATTCCCCCAAATAACTCTTTGCAATAATATCTTCACTTTCCCTCTCCCCATTCTCTTCTTTTTCCTTTATGGTCCTAAAAATGATCAAAAAAGAATTAAAAATTTTCATTTATAGCCTATGCCAGCCATTCACAGATTGGCTCATTCAGTTAATTCATGTAGAATGCAACCAAAATGTTTCTTCAGTTTCGTAAAGTCCAGACTCAATATCAATATTGTACACATTTTTCAGCTATGGATGTGATTTTTTTAAAAAAAAATTGTTACACAATTTTAATAATTTATCCTGCCTTGATTGTTCAGTCAAATTGCATTAGATTATCAGTGGGCATTGTTTTCAACAAAGACTTATTCCTTCCATTTATTATGTTAAACCATCAGATTGCCAAAGCAAGAGGTGATACATTGATATTTGTGTGTTGATTTTCAGCTACAAAATGCGCTGCCTCAGTGGACTTGCTCTAATGTTACACAAAAACTCGTATGACATGAGGAAGTTATTCACAACAGAGCAGGTCTCTTTGGAACTTTTATTTTTTAAAAAGTCTTCATCCAATTAGTACAACAGGTTACCTTTTGGCAGACGCATCTTCCTCCTGCTCAAATGCTATAAACACCCCGGCAGGGACGATATATAGCAATGTAGACAGCAAAGGAAAATATTTGCTAAGAGATACTCCTGCACTTTCTCTTTTTGATTTTTTTCCACTCTAAGTTTTAGTTGTAGAAACTGGAAATAGTAGAAATGTAGAAGGCGAGACAGCAAAATTGTAAAGTGATGGGTGATGAAACAAAATAATATATCGGTTTGCATTTTAAAATGTAAAGCAAAAAAGCAAACACACATTGGAACTCTCTACTTAGTATAATTTGCATTCACAGAGTTCAAAGAGGACCTGGGCATTACCTCCTCTGAATCATTGCTGCTTCTCCCTACTCTACAGGTGGATGAACTGAGGTACATGTTCAAATTTGGCAAAGTTATGCAGCAACTCTGTGATGGAATAAAATATGGGAATGGGTGTTTTGTGTTTGGGTTTGTATCTGAAAGAAGGTGAAAGCAAAGCTTTATAATAAAAAAGTCTAAATAGCACAATTGGCATATCCATTTGGAAATTCAAAGGGATTTCCATTTGATTGCATTTTATGAGGTCAAGTGGCTTGTTTGAATTCGTACTGAGCCATGTGGCTGGCCTGGTGTGCAAAGGCACATTTCTCCACTATAGTTCTTTTTCTGAATTTTTTAAGCACCTTTTGATTTCATAGATTTAGTAATTATATTGAGGCATAGACAGGATGGAGTCAAATGTACTCAAATTTAACTCATACTCAAATCTATTCTAACATACTCAAATTTAGTGCCTGCCAAAGCAAACTCCTGTCTCATTGATTTTTAAAATTCTTTGGATCATGGTTTGAGAATCTGTGCTTTGGGTTTCAAAACTGTTATCCATCTTAGGTAGATCCACTCTGATATCTATGTACTTAGAATCAATCCTGATCGTGTAAAGTTCATATCTTTTATTATGTACAAGACAGCAACTTTCTTGTCCCATGTAAGAGGAAACATCTCATAAATACCAGGATACATGAGTGAGTAGTAATCAGAGTTTTTCAGTTGCATAGCGAGAAACACAGCCTGATTAGTTTAAACAAAAAAGTGATTTAGTGGTTGTAACTGGGAAAGCTGAGAGCAGACCCGGCTCCGGGCATAGCTGTAGCTAAAGGTTTCGTTGATGCCAATTAACGGGATGGCTTCTGTGTTTTCATCTGAGCTGGCTTCATTTTCAAGCAGGCACTCTCCAGGCAGTGTCACAGGTGGTAATGACAGCTCCATGCTTAAGTGGTCCTCCAAGGTCATGATCACAGAGGAAAGATTCTGGAGCAGGGTGCTTTTTCCCACAGAGTATGTAATTATCATTAATAAAATTCTGACTTGCTCCAGTTGGAGTATATGCCCATTCCAGTCCGTTGTCAAGGGAAATGGGTTACTCTTATCAGCCCACCCTGGCTCTGGACGTGAGCACACATGGTCGACAGAATGCAGAGAGTCGATCTCCAAGAAAACAAGAGAGTCTCTGGATTCTGTGACCAGAATAAAGGACAAGGGATGCCAGGCTGCCAGTGGGCACAGGTGTCCTCTGCTCAGCAGCCCACTGTCTTTGTTATTGTCATTTGCTTTCAAGTGACAGTACAGTGGACCCTTGATCAACACAGGGATTAGGGACACTGACCCCCACCATAATAAAAAACCATGTATAATTTTTGACTCCCCAAAACTTAACCAGTAATAGCCTACCGTTGACCAGAAGCCTTGCCAATAATGTAAATAGTTGATGAACATATATTTTGTGTGTTATATGTACTATATATACTGTGTTCTTATAATAAAGTAAGCTAGAGAAAAGAAAATGTTATTAAGAAAATCATAAGGAAGAAAAAATATATTTACTATTCATCACATAGAAGTGGATCATCATAAAGGTCTTCATCCTTGGTGTTTTCACGTTGAGTTGGCTGAGGAAGAGGAGGGGTTGGTCCTGCTGTTTTGGGTTTGGTAGAGGCAGAAAAAAATCTGTGTATTAGTTCATACCCATGTTCTTCAAATGCCAACCATGCATGAAACTTTCAGTTCTTAGTTTTTATCAGAATTGCTATTAGTGTGTTGTATTTGTTTCATTTTGCTTTGTTTTTAGTCCTTTATCTGAATATCCAACTGAGGCAGGTAGTATGAATCATTGACATGAATTTTTCATGTCAAAATTGGGGCTAGTATTCATACTTCATTCAGGGTCAGCTGTCAGTAAAACTCTAAAGCAGGTGGAGTTCATTTTTAACTCCATTTCTTTTTGGGTGTGTGTCCTTAATTTTTATTTTCTCCTCCCTTGACCCCTTACAAGAGCCTATATCAGTGGAAGAGCACAATACTCAACTCATAGAATGGTGAGATTTCAGACACCAGTGTTAGCCAAGTGGGGAAGGTTTTCAGAGGCAAAGAACCTTCCAATATATCCTCCTCTTAAGGATACCAAATAGGAAATCTATACATGCTGGTATCAGACTGTGCCACTGGGTTCAAACATCTGAAGCTGCCTTTGAGAAGGAAATGAGAATGTATTTACTCTGGGGAGATTGCCATGAAGACAGGGCCTAAGAATCGTTTGTAAAATAGTAAGTTTTCTTCCACAAATGGAAAAAAATGTTAAGGGGTCTTGATTGGTGTATCCCAAGTGTCAGGTTTGTAATATAACCGCAATAGCATCATAAAAGGAAAGGCTTGGAACAGTCTGTTCGTCTGCAAATCTTGTGCGTTTTTTTGGAAGTATGTTAAGACTCTTAGAACAAAAGAATTACTTAACTATATTGAGAGATAGTTGAAACAGGCCCACACACGTCTGTGGTACCAGTTTATTCTTTTACAAAATGTTACCTTTTTAAAAAATTTTAAAATACACACTTAAATGGGGATGGAAGCAATGTCAAGGAGAATCTCACCTATGAAAATGCACAGCAGAAAGCACAGCTTCATTTCAGAGCACTGTCCTGGGAGTCCAGACTCAGCACTACTTCCGCTCTCAGAGCAATTCTGAACACGTTGCTTTGTTGTATTTTCTTCTAACTTAATCTTGAGGTCTCTCTCTCTGGAGAGTGGCCCATAAACTCTATCCCTACCCTGATGGGGCTCCAGGGGAGGTGATCTTGGTTGTTGACAGTGGGCCTTTCATAAGATACTTTTTTTTCCTGGTGGAAGACCCAATGCCTAAGTGTCTGTCCACATGTGACCAAGTGTCCCTTTCACAGAAACTCATTTATACTGGCAGGCACCCTTGTGGCTCTTGTCTGAACTGTGTCCAGTTCATTCCTGTGTGATTACGCAGAGACCCCAGAGAGAGGAGGACAGCATGCCCCGCAGGGCCAACGGGAAGTGGGGAGCTGTCTGGGACACACACACACACAACCAGCGAATGGGGAGCAAGAGACAGAGGAGAGACCTGTGGGCCAAAGCCTTCACTGGGGTTCAGGGTGTTACTCAGGCAGGTTTCCTGCAAGGAGTTCTAGTTGGTGGCTTAGAGCAAGCAGGCATGAGCTGTGTGGAGTTCCGCTGTGACTGAGAAGTGGTCACTGTGGCATATCTATGAGGTCCACGTGGGGTTTGGGGTGAGTCAAGTAGGCTGTATCTACATGTCCCATAGGGAGGTGGTCACCAGCATGTAGTTGTAGGAGGCAGATACCTGAATCAACCACCGTGAGGAACTGGGAGGAGACGGAGGGCTGGAAACTGTATTCAGGTTGACTGAGATTCAGCATAGATGCCAAAGCGACATCAAACTATCGAATTTACTGCGTGCTGCTGGTGAACTTCCAGTGATTTCACCTGTAAAACACAGATGTTGAATCTCTCAGGACCTGATCAATTGCAAAACTGAATGATTCCACTGTTTCGTACGTAGGTTTTATAAAACATTAGAGCAGGCTTGTCATTACC